GTGCCTTCTTTAATAGTTATGAAAGTCACTGAAACGTTAAGGCTGGACACATCTGGAACCCCCTGCACTCCTGGGCCCAGCCCCACTGTGGGCCTCAAGCCCCAACCACAGGCCTGGAGCGTCCCCAGGCCCCTGGCCACCCCCAGACCCAGCTCCTCGGGGTTTGCCGGAAGCCTCACTCCATGCCGGCTCGGGACAGCTGGCCTCGCAGTGTGGGGGCACATATCCTGCCAAGAGCCATCTGTCCCCACTGTCCTTGCTGGGGACTTCAAAACAGCCACCTGTCCCTGCCTCGCCAGCCCTGAGTCCGCTGGGGCCAGGAGCCGCCCAGAGCCCTGCACAGAAGGGTCAGGCCGGACTGTGGACCCTGGGCTGCACTCAGTGTGGCTCTGAGCCAGGCACTGCTCTGGGGAAACCTCGAGTCTGACTTTGGGCAGAGCCTGGACCGGCGTAGGAGGTGGGTGGGATGGATGGACACTGCCCGAGATCCTGTACTCACCCTGTGCCTCCTCAAGACACACAGAGACAGAATGGGGAAGTACCTGCCAGGGGGTGTGGGTGCCCTATTAGCAGACCAGTTCAGGGCCACATGCCCAGGGCCACATGGGACAGACACGGGGCAGAGCTGAACCCCTTTTAGAGTGGCCAGACCTGTGGGAGTCAAGAGTGGCCGCTGTCAGATATCCCGGACCAGCCTGCCCACCACATCCAAGACCGGTGTCCTCAGCCCAGGGGGCGAGCAGGGAGACTGAGGCACAGATGGGGCCAGGGAGTGCAGGAAGCGTGCTGAGCTGGGACCGGGCCCAGGGCAGCATGGGTACAATGTGTACGTGTTCGAACGATCCCACGTGGCCCGAGGGCCAAGAAGAGACAGGTCCAGATCCGGGGTAGAGACATGAGTCCAGGGAAGAGGGGACATAGTCACCGGGGTCAGTGACAACATGAAGCAACACCAAGAGGAATGAGAGGTGGAGACAAGGAACAGAGAGGAAAAGACAAAGGTGGGGGAGGTGTGGGGCCAGGGAAGCCCAGAGCAGGAGCTCAGGTGCCAGGGCCTGGGAAGGGAGCTGTGCCCAGGCCACCAGCCCCATCACAGAGGAAGAGCTGAGCTCTCAGGCTGAAAGCTGGTCCTCCCGGGACCCCCCTCACTCCTGCACCTACCTGAGCACTCAGTCTCGGGGAGCACAGCCTGTGTGATGACAACAGTTGGATCAGGTCCTGCTCCTTGTCATTAAACTGTGGGGACAAAAGGAAACCTATTTCAGAACCACTGGCAAGGGAAGGGCCTCTCCCCAATGAGGGCCAACGCCTGGGGACCGGCAGCTGGTGACCCTCAGCGACATCAGGACCAGGGAAGCCGCCAGGAGGGACTCACTGTGCGTGGCCAGAACCCAGGAGGGTGGTGGCCACAGGGGACCTGAGCCCAGCAGTGTGGGCAGGAGCGGGCAGCCCGGCTGGGTTGGAAAAAATGAGGAGGGTGGACCAAGTTGCAAGCAAGAGGTCTTTCCTGATGCCCTAGGCCAGTGGTCGGCAAACTGCAGCTCCCGAGCCACATGCGGCTCTTTGGCCCCTTGAGTGGGGCTCGTCCTAAGCCTTAGGAATACTCTAATTAAGTTAATAACAATGTACCTACCTATATAGTTCAAGTTTAAAAAATTTGGCTCTCTGCCGAAACCGGTTTGGCTCAGTGGATGGAGCGTGGGCTTGCGGACACAAGGGGTCCCAGGTTTGATTCTGGTCAGGGGCATGTGCCTTGGTTGCGAGACAATGATCTAAGAGCTGTTCTCAGAATTAAACAAGATAGCTGGAATCAACAGCTTATCTGCATCTACTTAGAAAATATAACAAAGATCTTGTAACCTCTAGGCCAGTGATGGCGAACCTATGACACGCGTGTCAGAGGTGACACGCGAACTCATTTTTTTGGTTGATTTTTCTTTGTTAAATGGCATTGAAATATATAAAATAAATATCAAAAATATAAGTCTTTGTTTTACTATGGTTGCAAATATCAAAAAATTTCTATACGTGACACGGCACCAGAGTTAAGTTAGGGTTTTTCAAAATGCTGACACGCCGAGCTCAAAAGGTTCGTCATCACTGACCTCGGCCCATGTCTTCACCTGCCCGTCTGGGTCTCTCCCCCTGGGCCCCTCCGTTGTCCTATCACTGGGCTACCTGGTGCCCTCCATCCCATAGCCCCCCCCGAGAGTTTGTCTCTCCTCCCCCTGACCCTTCTCCTGCACAGGCCCTTCCACCGACCTCCCGGCCTCTGCCCCACCCATGACCCCAGCTGCCGACAACTCCCTGGTCACAGCCCCACTGTATGCCCATCACGGGGCTCAGTCCAGGCCCAGCCCATCAATAACCAAAGTTCCTCCACTGGGCACCCGGCCTCCCCACCACTCTTCCAGCCTGACACCGTTAGTTCTGGGGACCATGGTGGCTGCTGCCAGCGAGGGCCCCCCAGGGAAATCAGTTGCCGCCAATAAACCTCCCTCAGATACCCCACAGTCCCAGGTGCACCATCACTCCTCTGCATCGACCAGCCCACCAGGGCTGCAAAACTGGCCTGGACGGCCTTCGTCCATCAGTGTTTCCCCTTGGGGGCTGGCCCCCATCCTCTCCCCTCCCCTCCCCGAGTGGCTGGAGAACCGCAGTGTCAGCCTCCTGCTCCTCCTTGTCGGCCTGGCTCCATCACTGAGGCCAAAGCCCGTTTCACCCCACTTCACCCCACTTCACCCCACCTCACCCCCCTACCTCTTCCCACCTCACCCCCTACACCTCACATGTCCCCACAACTCCAAGCTCCCAGGATACCACCCACCCACCTTCCCAAGAGCCCTTCAAGGCTCGGTCGGGGCATGTACAGCCCGTCCTTCGTGGGGCACCTCAGTCTCCCTTCTCCACACCCCGAGCTAGTGCTCGGAGGGCACAGAGGAGAACGAAGACTCTGCCCGACGCCACTGCGGGGAGTAGGTGAGTTCGTGGCTCACCGCCCAGCGAGGAAGCTCTGTCACCTGTGTGTGCAGGTCCCGGTGACTGTCCTCAGGCTGGGACACGGGCCTGCGCTCTCCATCCGCAGCACCCACAGCACAGCACCCAGCCCACGCAGGTCACACACGCCTCCCCGGGAAGCTGAGCCAGGACACAGGGAGGGGCCCCCCACAGGGGGACCCCACTCTGCCCACCCTTGCCCTGGAGGATGGCTCTGCCCCCCGAGGGGTCCTCTGGGATCCTGGCCCCCACCCGCTCACATGCCGCCAGCCCCAAGCGTGAGCAGTTAGTGGCTGATGGATGGGTAATTGTTTTACCTCCGAACAGCCCGAGCCCCGTAATTTGGAGGCATAAATCCCAGCCTGTCGGGCTGGGCTGACATGGAATGACACCCAGAATTAAATGGAAGCATCACAATTAACAGCCCATAAAAGTGTTCTGAGCAGACCTGCCACCAGGCAAGCCATCTCCTCCTCCTCCGTGGGGTCCTGGGGAGGGGGGTGGGCACCCCAAGTGGTCCGAGGAGCTGCCTGTTCCCTCTCTGTTCCTGAGTGTGCCAGGCCCTGCAGGGCTCTCCATCCCCTCCCCCACCCCAGAAGGTGTGCACTCCCCTGGCTCCCTGAAGCCCCAGCAGACTGCTCCTAGCAGCCCCCAGCACCCCACCCCCTGGCATGACCAGGTCACCTCCTGCCCTCCCTGCCCCTGCTTCTGGCTTCCCAAACAAGCTCCCAGCCCCGGCCTCGGGTCAGGGAACCCACACTAAGATGGCAGCACCTCTCCACACGCCTGAGGACTCACTTGTCCTCGTGTCACTCCTGCATTCACACTTCCCCAGGCCTCCCCGGGGCCCATCCCTCAGACTGAGGGTCTGAGGCCGGCAGGAGGGGGCCTGGCCTCCCCGGCCTCCGCTTCCTCCTGTGGGGCTGCAGATGGAGGAGCAAACCAACCCGGGCTCTCCACAGGGTGCGCGGTGTCGATGCAGCTGGAAGATGAGGCCTTGGGGGTTGGGGAGGGTGCCCCCAACACCCCCTGGGCCTCGAAACCCAACAGCCAAGTATGTCCCTGGTCTCAGCATTCCCCATGCCCGTGTGCATGAGGATGGGCTGTGGTCTTCATGGAGGGCCCTTGCCAGAGCGCCATGGTGCCCAGATGATGCCCAGATGCCAGCCAGGGTGGAAGACTCTGTTTGTCAAGAGAGGGGCCGAGACCCCACCCCAAACCCACCCCGTGTCTGAGGATGAAGCCTGAGGCACCGGCGGGGACCAGCCCAGCCAGTTCCAGCAGGCACGCTGGCGGCCCCCGGGAGCCATGCTGCCCTCTGCACAGGGGACCCCGGCCCCACCAGGCCCTCTCGCCAGATGCCTCCCAGTCCTGTCCAAAGTCAAGCAGGGTCCCACCGGCCAGAGGGGGCTGGACGGGGCCCCTACACCTGGCCAGAGGTTTAACTCAAAAAGCTCTTCCTGCCGATGCAGAGCCCACTTTAAGAATCAACTTCCTAAAAGGCCACTTGCTTGGCACTGGGAGCAAATGGCTGCCATGGCTTCACTGTCTCTGAGTCGGCTGTGATTCAATGACTGTGATTCTGTTTCCTTACTAATGTCATTGTTTGAAAGCGCCTCCCTCACCTGTTGGGCCTCAGGGTGCAGAGCAGAGGTGGGGCTCCCAACGGCTTCCTCCGAATGGTC